CGGGGGGGGGGGGTCGCCTCCCCCGCACCACCCCCCGCCGAGCCGGTCTCTGAGGGGAGCTTTTCCCGCCCTGAGAGCCGCCTGCCGCCTCACCTCACCCCGCTCTCCACCAGGCCCCCCTGGGGTTCTGCAGCAGAGAGGCTGCTCCAAGACTTCCCGCGGATGCCAGCTGCCTCAAGCCACAGCAGCACTCTGACTAGAACAGGGATGGCTGCCTCCTGCCCGAGCCCCTTTTCTTTCCTCTGGTGCCATGGTAGTTGAAGAGCCTGGTTGCGTGCTGGAAGAGCCCTTGGTGCATGCCGGGGGCCTGCCCCATGAGGCGCACACCGTGCCTTTGTTGAGCAGGAGATGGGATGTACCCGGTGCATCGATGGCGGCAAGTCACATCGTGGCAGAGGGACCACAATGCTAGGCCGCAGCTGGAGAATGAATCTTTCAGTGCTGCGTCTCCTGGGATTTCTCCGGCTCCCCAGCCATCTGTGGGTCAATGAGAGGCAACCGGTAGCATCTGGCAGACATAGTCACAGGAGGTGAAGTCACTACCAACGTGAGGGTGGATGGGGATCAGGCAAGGCAGTTACATTTGGGGCAGCAGGTCAGAGTGCACAAATCTCACTAATTTGTGCGACGCAAATGAATAAGATTCAAAAGCAGCAGCTGGAGACAATACAGTGGGAGTCATTGTCTAAGTGTAAAGAGGTTTGCTGGAGCGGCATGCGCCCATGCCTTGGTTACATGTCTTCCATCAGTGATACAACAGCGACACAGTAGTATGCAGTCCACAGGTTTATCCTCATGTCACGACGACCTGCTTCCTTGCGCACCATGGCTCAGAGAGCTGTTCTCCAAATTCCCCAAGCTGTCCACCCTGAGACCTTATGTATTTTATGGTGCTACTTTTCATGCTGTTTATACAGCCTGGAGAGCAGATCTCCCTGTCTGAACAGGGAAGACGCCTTCCTTCTCACTATCTTTTATGGATACACGTGCAGTCTTCCTCTTGTTAAATTTTCATTGTTCTGGCATGGAGAGAGTTGCTTAAAAAAAAAAAGTAGTAAATTATTTCATATATATTAATTGGGCAAACAGTATTTTTTAATAAGAAAGTCAGATTTTAAAGTAAATAAGAAAGCCTTTAAAGTAAATCTTTTTAGATTTTTAGCTCGGCCTTAAGTATAACCTACACAAAGCAAGAAAAAATTCCTTTTTTACTGCAGTAAACAGTGCCTTTAGCGGGTAAATTACTCATTAGAAACTTCCCTGATGAAAAAAATCATCTAGCTCCCCTGTATGAGGAGTGTCTAGTTTAAGAATGTGGAAAAGTTCAAATGGAGAAAAAATAGGGCGAGAAATAATAATAATAAAATGCTCAGTTCGGGGCAGGCACAAATAATTATTTTGAATGGGAAAAATGATGTCAGTATAGGCAATGCAACCAAAGGTAGAGAAGCAGTAGTCCCTCTTTTGGTTTATATTCTCCAACGCCACAATATATTTAACTTGATGTTCCTTATTTCCACTCTTAAAATATTTTTTAGAAATGGTAAATGGGCCTCCGGGTTTTTCAATTCAACTCGTTTTTTTCTTCATGCACACCAAAATGTCACCGATTCATAAGTACCTCTAGTTCCAGTATTTTGTTCTGTATTCAGCAAAAGGTATTACGATTGTTTTATCCTTTCACTTTTTTTAAATACCAGGAAAGAGAAAGGGACAATCATGTACCCATGCAGCAATGTGGATGCCCCAGGAAGACTAATTAAAGCAGTGTGGAAAAGAAGAATACACCAAAGTGGCATAAACTCTACACTGGTAAGGAGAGAGATGCAAACATACAGAATTTTAGTTATAATCATCATGGCCATAAATCGACCTGCCTCTGGAGGATACTCTCACTGTAATGAATTTCCTCAGTATCTTTTGTTTGACAACAGTCAGAGATAACAAGTGATCAGCAAGAAGAAATATGACACCTGACATTTTAAATGCCCTCTTAGTGTTACTTATTCTGCTAAAAAATACAGTTCTTCATCCATTAAGTGTTGAAAGGGGGAATGAAAGGGCATCTTTCACTGTGTAAATTCATGACAAGCGTGCGATCCTGGGCATCCCTCATATGAAGAGGGAATATTTGGCTTCATATGAAGCAGCTGATTGCAGTTCATCATGGTACTAGGAAGAAACCTAGCAGAGTTGCACCTCATGATAGCAGCAGGCACAGCTTTCACAGAACAGCATTTTGGACCACTGGTAACTGTGGTCTTTGGAGACTGGAGGTAGGGTACAGTCAGAGTATGTAACTACATAGCTAGTTCATTTACAGGAAAACCTATGTTGCCAGAACTAAGGAGACTCCCATGGCAGTTGGAATGCAACTAGTGTCATTTGGGATGGTCACCACCGATATATCTAATGACATTTCGCAGTCGTTAAGAGAAACCTGTGACTTACAGCAATGATGAAAATTTGTGGGGTGTATGATGGTGAGAGAGCACTTAACGTGGTGGCTGATGGCCATGTCCTTGGCAATGTGAGCTGAACTGACATCTGACAGAGTTAATGACAGAGGGCAGCTGTTGGAAAGACATCTGTAACAAGCTCCCACTGCTGGAAGAAGTGAGCCAGGCACTGGCACACCTCTTGCACCTGGGGACGGTGGGATATGTTTGCAGTTGGTGGCAAAGAGGAGAGAAAAGAGACTAGCATGGAAAATGGAGGAGGTTAAAGTGGAACAGATATTTGAATTTGGGTGTGGCAAACAAAACAAATGATACAAAGGAAGGGAGAAACATGTGAGCCCTAGAGGAAGAAAAGTTAGAAACATACCAGTAGTTTCAAAGAAAAAAGTGGTAGCTTCAGGGAAGGAGGGTACGGTCACCAAGTACAGAACACGATTCTGTAGTGGTGCGAAGAATAGGCAGTAGAAAACAGCCCAGGAATGAAGCAGGGACTAGAGAAGATGGAGAAACCGAAAAGATGCAGGAAAGATGAGAAGGAAAAAAAAAGATTCATCTATGTAAGTGTTTTTATTCTAAATAAAGAAAAGCAGAGACAGTTGAATAAATAAAAAAAATGTGAAGTCAACTGAAGGAAACTAGAATAAAGGGAAGACAGAGGGAAGGAGAATGGAATAAGGAAATGAAAAAATAGAAACATGAATAAGTAGAAAAAAATTGAAAACTTGGTAACTTTTATTTAGATAATATGTGCTTCATACAATTAGTTTCTCCATTTCCCACAGTCTTAAGAAAAAGATACAATGATGTATGTAGGAAATAGTGCTTCATTACATTAGTTTGTCTTGCATCTCAGGAAAAGGGGTATCTCTTCTGAAAAAAATTCCATCAAAACAATAGGTGTAGTTTTCTTTTTTATTCCAGAAATAAATACAGAGATTGTAATACATGTAATACTGTTCTGTCCTCTCTCCCCTTTCTCTCTTTCTCTTTTTCTCAGTTTTGAGTCTGTGCCTCAGACATTTCAATTTTGACATCTTTCATTCCACCCCCATGTATCAAATTTAAAGTCAGGTTAACTCCTGGATTTCAATGAAATATTTTATAAAATGTCATAGTTTTAGGCTTTTGTGGGATTGGCTCTCTTAATTAGTACCTTGACTGTGCACTTAGTGGAACTGGCATAAATCTGCATTATTCCATTGCATTTCTCAGCGGTCCAAATGCATTGCACAGTCAAGACAAAACATAATTTATCAAAGAGGATGTGAGGCAGAGAGCTTAAACTTCTTACCCACAAAGCTTGTGAGTGTCAAAGCAGGACCACAACTGTATGAAATACAAATATAAAAGGAGGAAATGTTTGCGTGAGTTTGGCTGAAAACAAACATTATTTTGTACAGATACACAGTCTTTATAAGGTATGGTGTCAGTATCTGAGATTAAAAAAGTAGCATTTTGAATTACCTACTAGATTGAATGTGTTCTTAATCTATACTTTTTAACCAGCTTTATTATAAATACACTCATATTAAAATAATATATCTATTTTCTTGTTCCATGTATGCATTCAATACCACTTTTCATACTGTAGTCAGTTTACTCTTCCCTGCTAAATCAATCAATTTCTATACGGAAAGACAGTTCTTTGCTACAACACAAAATGATAATTTCTTTTTGTATTTGTGAAAATCCAATGGTAAAGTTATGAAAAAATGCTGGAGAATTTTTCTGTTTGTGTAGCACTTCCATGTGGAAGATTCAGATTACCATGTGGGGATTGAAATTACCAGTCTGACTTATAAAATTTTCAGTTTTTTAAGATAGGTTCAATATATCCACTTAAATTTATGGGATAAGCCAACAGTGCCGTTCTGACCTGCCTAGTCTTGGCTGTTTGTACCTCATGAATCTACAGGGCCTACTTATAAAAGTTGTGTTTGACTACCTGAACCTATAGAGGTTAGAAGTCATCAGGACACTTTTGATGCAACAGAGTAAGGAGGGAACATACATGTACTTATTTTTCTAAAACTGAAGTATCTTGGACATGCATAATATCTTTTATTAGAATGAACACAGACTGCTATTCCAGACTTTTTTCACACTCACATCACTACACTAGAGTGTCTACTTTACAAGCTGTAAAAATGAGACTAAAAAACCACACTCAGTACTAGACATAAGACCAAGAACACAACCCAAAATCCTGTCTGCTGTTGTGATTCATTTCATCATTCAAGCATGGGGGGATGGAGCAGTTACAGAAAGGCAAATACCTTTTATACTGAGGCTTTCTGAATCACAAATGGCAAGATGAAGTTATCCTGGCTAACTAGGTAGTGATTTATTCACAGATGTGGAAGCTGGAGATAATTTTAAGAGATCCTTTCATGAAGACAGGTAAATGGATAATGTATGTGATACAAAAAAGGTTAATGAAGCTGAAGTTTGCAGTTTGGTCACAAAAATTGAAGGATGAAGTCTTACAAGCCAGACCTAGATTCTAAAAATGGTGTTTAGGCATCTGTCTCCCATTCAAATGAGTAAGAGGATTCAGACCTAAGTTTAGAAATAATTAGGGCATAAAGAGAGATAGTTGTCTATCTAGGACAGTGGGGAGCACTGAACATAGCCTAAAATACAAAGATCCATTAGGAAAAATCTCTGACTGTTTTGGTTTTTTTGCTGCATAGGCTGCTTTTTCTTGGGTAGTGTTGCGCTGAAGTGAAATGCAAGCCTCTGTGTATGCTTCTCACAGAGGCACTGATGTGAGGGATGGGATGAAAGTGGGATTTCACAAAGTTTTTTCAGGCATGAAGTGAGCAAAAGGTGGAGTGAAGAGCATGCTGAAAGGCGAATAGGAGATAATAAATGGAGAAAGAAGGCAAAAAATTGTCTTTGAGGGATGAAATGCTGCAGAGGATTAGTCTGCAAATAAATATTTTGTGTAGGGTTTCGGGTTTATGCATTAACTGGGAGAGTAAGAATCTGTGTATTTAGCTTCATGCACAACTTTCCAAGAGGTTCAAGAGCTGCAGTGATAACCAATGATCTAAATCCACTTCTAGGCTGAAAAGAGTCCAAGTTACAACTAGACTATCACAACTGACCTACTTGGTACACTTGACAGTAGTCTCAGTGGAGAGACTAAGGAGCAGATGGGAGTACAGTCTGATACATCGCTCTGTGGACAGTCTTTTCAGAACAAAATCATATGTTTTGGAGAGTACAAGTTGTTATTCACTGCCTACTTCAGACCCCTGGATGTTGCAGACTAGCAAATTTCACCATTCCCTGTACAGAAATCTATCTTTACTGATTGGGTTTGGCTAAAATTCCAGAAGGCTTGATAGCAGTGTTTCTTTAAG